CTCTAGAAATATCATCTCCAGACATCTAGTGTCAACTGTAAATTTCGTAAGGAAGAAATCAAGATCTAAAAAGGTGTTATTACATGTAATCTTTGCAAAGGAGTACAAAAATTTAGCAAACTCAACAGATTGTTAACGTGAAAAAGAAAAAAAACACCAATACGATTATCCATATTTCAAGAAGAATTTGATAAGTAATAAAAAGGAAAAGAGCATTCAATTTCATCGAAAGTATACCTTTAATGGAAGCTATCAAGCTCTCAATTCAAGTTTTGAGAAGGAAAGATTGACCACAAAGCAACACCTTATGATGGCTGATAAATGGTAAGGTTGATAAGAGTTGGCTTCAACAGAATTTATTTTCTCTGGAATGAATTCATCATCACTGAAACCTTGAGGGATTGCTCAATTGGTCAGGCCTTGGATTTGCTCCCCAATGGTCAACGGTTCGAGTCCCTTTAGGGCTACCGAGGTGAGTACCCCGGCCGTAAACTTTAGGGCCCATGGGATTAGTCGAGGTGCGTACAAGTTGGCCCGGATATCCACAGTTATTAAAGAAAAAAATTCATCATCATTGAAGGATGAGTTAAAACATCCTAAAAGTTAGTTTTGTTCTACTATTATTCGATATTCTCAAGTATCCAATACCAAAAATTCAAATAAAACACTTTAATGATAAAACAAAACAAATGGAACAAACCAAAAGTTTATGCAAGCAGGACATACATATGAACAGAGTATAATTTCAAATTAAATCATTGGACCTCAGGCAACACCCTTGGCTGAAACGGACATTTTAGTAGCAACCTTATCCGAAACAACACTACACGAATGATCAAATGTTTAAAGTACACAATGTTTGACTAAATAATAAATCAAGTACATAACATAAGGAGAACTATCTTTACAAGATAAATAACGAACATTTGCATAAAACAAAATAATTATAACTGGACTCGAAATCTATGAATTGGCCAAAAAATGTAATTACTTAGAGGACAACAAATCCCTGAGCCTAGAACAAGATATGAAAGAACTATTTACAGAAATAAAATGTAAATAAGATTTTCTTTTCATATTGTTACTAATTCTGAGACTGACTCGTATATATAATATATAACACAAAACATGCAGGATAGCTATTTTGAATCTGGAACAAATTGAGAGACCTTTCTGAACGAATTTGTCAGCCCAAGACAAAATACCCAAAATAACACTTCCATGCACCAACTAAATAGAATCCAAGAACGCATAGCCCATTAAATCATACAATAAAGTGAAAATTACACAAAATCAGAATTTTAAAGATTCAATTTTAAGAATCAGATTAAATGTTTCACTTTTTAAAAATCAGATATTTTATTTTAAATATCAAATATTAATTGTACAAATTTCATCCCAAACCCTAATCAATTTCATTCCAATTTTCCTCCTCCTTCTGTCTTCTCTCTCTTCTCACTCTCTCTACCTTCTCTTTTCTCTCTGTCACTCTCTCTTATCACTCTCTCTACCTTCTCTCTTCTCCAGTCTCCTCCCTCTCTGCCGGTAGCCCAGCCTCCACGAGACGGTGGGCCTTGTCCGATAGCGCTGTGCACAAACACGAATTAGCAGCGTTTATTCATGCGAATCGTCGCTGCATTTTTTTATTTCTGAGTTTTTTGCAATTTTTGCGAGGGAGTCGTGATTTTGTGGTGGTTGATGACGCTATGGAGTCATGATTTATGGTTGATGGTTCGCAATCATTACTACAGTAGTAGTGACGGTAGGAGTGATGATGGGTTGTGCACTGCTTTGTGATTTGGGGATGGTTTTTGTTGGAGGCGACGGCGGTGGATTTGGCTATGGTGGTGGTTTTGTTGGATCGGCAGTGGATTTGATGAGGTTTGTTGGTTTTGGTAGTGGCGATGATGGTGGATTCAGCAGTTAGTGGTGATTTGCTAGTGGTTGTGGTGGGGAGTCGTAGTGGTGATTTTGAAGTTGAACGTAGTAGTTTATTGGAGGTTGTGGTGGCAGTGAACTGGTGATGCTGCTTTCGGTTGGTTCCATGGTGTATTGTGGATGGGTGGTGTAGATGATGGCAATGTTGGTGATGGTCGGCGATGGCGGTAGGGTTGGGGATTTTTCTTTTGGGTTGTGGGATGGGAGGGGTGTTGGTGGTGGAGGTTCTGTGTTTTTAGTAGTGGGTGGTGCGATGGTTGTGGGTGAGTGGTGGTAGTGACATTCGTGAGGTGGTAGTCACCAGTGTTGGAGGTGGTCACAGATTATTTGGTTGTTTGTGACCATTAAATTAATTAATTTGTGACCCATAAACAATATTCGACCAATGAAAAAAGATAAACCGTGACAAAAAAATAATGTGTGACCTAAAAAATTGTTAATTTGTGATCGATAGGTTGTGACATTTAATATTTGTGATTTGTGACCTATAAATAAATTGCGACGTTTCAATTTTTGACTTGTGACCGATGAACAAATTGTGATCTATATAATTTTTGAATTGTGACGTTAAAATAATTTGTGTATAAAATTTGTGATTTGTGATCAATGAATAATATGTGACTTATTAATTTTATAAATTTGTAACCAATAAAAAAGTTGTGATCTATAAAATTTTTGATTTGTGATTGTAAAATAATTTATGACTTATAAATTTTTTTTAATGTGACTGAGAAATAATTTTAACCAAATTATATGAAATTGTGATCTTAATATATTTAATTAATAAAATATATGTTTAATTAATTATTTTATAAATAAAATTTAAAAAAAGCTTACATTATCTCTTAAATTTGAAATTGAGAAAACTTAGGTTCTTAGTTATGTAATCTTCCCTATAATAAATAATTTTTTTTTCAAAGAATCGACTGAAAACAAAGTGAAAAAGGACGGGAAAAAATCCACTACTCCACAACCCATTTATCCACATAATAAAAATATTTGTTTTCAAAGAAATGACTCAAAATCAGTGTTCTAAAAAGCACGTCTAGATGTGATGCACAGTGAAAATGTCAAGTCAAGTGGCTGACGCCTTATTTAACAGTCAACGTCAATCATTGACCGCTAATGCGTGCTTAGACGCGCATCAATATATTTTACAATTTTTTAAAGTTAAAACTTAAAAGTTGATTTACATTTGAAACTTATCTTTTTGTTAAAAAATTTTGAAAAATGTATAAAATTTCTATAAATCTATTTTAGATGTTTGATATGCATTATTTTTAATTATTAAATAATTTTTTAATTGATTAAAAATTAAAATAAGAAAACGCATTGTTACGCATATGTCTCGCCTAAGCTCACCTAACCCATAGTTTGGCCTCTACGCATCTCCAAGCATTACGCATTTTAGAACGCTGCTCAAAACAAAGTAAAGAAGAACGGTAAAAAAATCCACAACTACCAAAAACCAAACACGCTCCGGGAGAAATAACATACGACAATGGAAAACTATATCACCATGAGAGAACAAAACGACGATAAGAAATCGAGGAAAACATCATAAAAAAAGAACTCCGGGAAGACCACGAATATGCAAAATCGACGAACAAACCTACTGTAGTACGTGCAATCTTTGATAGACGATTTTCGAAGGTTTAAAGAAGAAAGAAGTTCATTTTTTATAGAAATATAGGGAAAGATGAAGAGCGTTGGATACGGTCAGGCGAATACAGTTAGGCAGAGATAGAAATGCTTCCTCTGATGGACGATTTTCGAAGGTTTAAAGAAGGAACAAGCTAATTTTTTGAAGAGAAATTGAGAAGGAGGATGAGCGACAAATGATAACAGGCAAAAATCGAGGGATAGAGACCAAGAGCGATAGAAAAGATCAGGCTGCGATACAAATGCTTTAGGGTTTGCACTATTGGTCAAAATTTATACGTACATGCAAAACGGTGGCGTTCCGGATAGAATGAAGAGCAAACGACATTGTTTTATCAACTCCACAAAACGGCATCGTATTGGACGAAAAGTGAACAATAAAGGACGGATTCACTCTTATTAGTTTGTAAGGATATTATAGCCTTATGAATTCTTTTGAATTCACCATTCTTTGCTAAAAAACCTTTCTTTATGACATAAAAATTAAGGATAAATGGCGCAAAACCTCTTTGATCTTTGCCTCTGTTATGGAATACTCCTATATCTTTTCATATTGATGAAAACCCTCCGGATGACCTTTTAAGTGCGTAACACAATATTTTTTTTAATCTTCTCCATAAAGTCTTGTGAAATGACGAATATATATTATTCTTTGAATAAAATATAAAGAAAAGAAGAAATAGTAATAATTAATTGTGATCACATTCCCAAAATATTTTAAAAAG